TAAAGGTAAAAAAAACAAACAAACAAACAAAAAAACAGTTAAAAGAAAACTAATTAGTAAGTTTTCTCTCTTCCTTTTAAAAACTGATAAATTGCAACTTTGACTTAGTGTAAAATCAATTTGAAAGTAACATTATCATGTACATATATAACTGTTTCAGAACTAAAAAAAAAAAAAAGAGAAAAAAACAAAGAAAAAGAAAAATTAAGTGAAAATTGCGTACCATAAATTATTTGCTCTTACTTGCATCTATGGCCGTTTTTGGTTGTTGTTGTTGTTTTTAAACTTTTCTATACTTACGTAACTCAGCAAACAGCAATATGAACGAAAAGTAATCAGAATTATGAGAATAGGACGCAGATCTCCAATTATACCTATCACTCGAAGATGGCAATTTTATGGCATTTTCGTTACGCGTGGCATATAGCTTAAGGACACCAGTCCATTCCTCGCTCGTCCGTCTATCTGCGTACTATCGGAACTTGACATAAGTGGTTTTAGTTCATTTTCATGGCTCAGGTTCGAATTTGACTTTCTTTCAATATCGGCTTTCGTATCCGTCACCAAAAAAAAAAAAGAAAAAAAAATTCCTAAATATTATTACATGTAATTTAAAGTTAAAATTTTGTACAAACATTGAACTCAGATATCTAAAAGTTGATTGTGTAAAAGTGAGTGATTGGCGAACAATCTGCAAACAAATTTTTCTATTGTCAGTGTGGTGGGTATTTGAAATTCGTTGGAACGAATATATCTCATAAGTATATTTGTAGCGAAAAGAGAATTTTTAATTTACATAATACATGCACTACGATCAAAAAATACCAGGAATCAATCGAACACTTTCCCATATCATTATTAAATTTTATTATTATTGTAATTAATTTAGCCATGGAATGAATTGTAAGACTAAAGTTTTAAAGCACTAGCTTTGATGGCTATCGACTTTTATTGAAAATCGCATTAGAGACTTGAATCCACCATTGAGTTGTTAGTCGAGATTCTTTGCCTACTTGGCCACTCAGGCTGTGTAATTTAGGCGCCGTTTAATTAAGAGAGTCGGTAATTCTTTTTTTTTTTTTTTTCCAATACGCCCAGTCCCTTAGGGATATCCCTATATGTGTAATAAAGTGATTGTCAGAAAGAAGGAAAGAAAAGCGAAGAGAAAGAAAGTGACAGTGGTCCAGTGGTTGCGTGCCCATATGATAAGTGTTACGCATTTGTTGGCAACTTTTTTCAATATTTATGTTTCATTATATTATCAGGTATGACTACCATCCGTATCATAGTCATCTGGAAAATATTTTTTGCACACCCTTCTGGAACCATTTTGGCTTTGAGTTTCGACTTTTTTTAGTTTAAGTTGTGGTGCGATTTTTTTAATGCCTAGAATATCCGACAAAATGGGTTTGACACCATCTATAAAAAATGCCACCATTTTTTTCAATATTTCTCCAAAAATTTTTCGGCGATGATGTTTTTTCACTTTATCAACCTCAATGTCTCAAAGATTACGTCCTATACGTTGAATACAAGAAAACAACTTGGACAAGCGGATACTCGAGCTTATATCGATTCAGATACTGCTTCTGACTCGATCAGAGTAATAAAAGGCGCTGTATAGGGAGCGTTTCGACCCTAGCCATCTTCGATAGCGTGCGTCCTTGGACCAAAACATGTCAGTGTGCCAAATTTCATTGAAATATATCAAAAATGATGACGTAAAGGTTAAACACAAGAACGTAAAACGAACAGAGGGATAGCCAAGCCTAAGCTGATTCAGAAAGCGATTCTAAATCGAACGACATAATCAAGGGTGTGTTTCTTTCAAGTTTTTCTGGGTGTCGCATACATCCACAGAAACCTAATATAACTTAGCACTATACGTTGTGTAAAAACAACAACAATTAGATTTTAAAAAAAATATCAAAATCGAAAAATTTCAAAAATTGTAGCTTGTGTGGTTGAACGTAACAAAACAAGATAGACGGGCAGGGCTAAATCGACTGAGACCCGATTGGCATAATAAAAGGTGAATCTATATCGAGTCGCGCTGGGTGTTACGTACATCCGCACAAGCTTAATGTGAGCCACAGGTGTTGTGGGGTATAAAAGGGGAATAATTAAGATGCCTTGTCATTAATAGTGGAAAACAAAGAAAAAGAATTATGGTGTTAGGTTACTTGTGTCGTAGACACTAAAAGTCCACTCAATATTTATTGCGAGATGTTCAACTAATTCCTGGCACTTTTTGATTGTAGTGTGTACAACTATTTTTTTTTTTTTTGTTTTCCTTTAAAGTAAAACTCATCAAAACAAAACAATTGCAAGCGAATAATACACTAATGCATTTATAAATATGTAAAAGAAGAAAAAGAAAGAAAAAACTATATTTAACAATGAATAAGAACAACTTCAAGGATCCTATTTCAATACTATTCGCTCTTTGCACAAAGCATTTATATCCACTTTCAACGGTTTCTAATTTGACACTAAAAACTAAACTTAGAAGAAATGGAAATAAGGTTATATAACATATTTTTCTTAGTGGTTTAAAAACAATAAGAAGAAGAAAAACCAATCTCAGATATCCCTCCCTATTTACAAGCATATAAATATATCTTTTGAAGGCAATATTTTTCCACCTATATAATGTATATATATATTAAAGGAAAAGGAAACGGAGAAGAAGTCTTAACGGTCCAAATATAAAACACAAAAAATCTCTGCATTTTGTTGTAGTTGTTTATAATATATGTACACGTAAATACGTACATGCATAAATACATACATACATACACACACATACACACATAGAATTCTTTACATTGTTATAAGCCTTTATATTCAATTTTAATAAACAGTTATTCGATGTTAAATACTTTGCATTTTCATTGAGATATCCTTCCTGAGTCAACTTTCGGGGCTAAATTAAATCAAAAAAAAAATTGAAGTAATTATTATTAATTCGAATAGCTTAGTTATGAGTCGACCGTGACACCTGTTAAAATGCAATGTCAATGCTTTGCAAAATTTATTTGGAAATAAGAGAATTGTATCATACCTTACTTTGCCTATAGACAAATTTTATAATTTTCACTTAAATTAGTTACGAATTATTTCGTAAATACACTCATTACTTTTTCTAACAACTTGAACATAAATGCTTATTATATCACATCACTCAATATGTTTCCTGAGCAACGCCGTCATTCAAACGCACTTATAATGCCACTTAATAATCGTTATTGATCGTTTGTCCCTTTTTGAGATAGTCGATCAATATCAATCGCCAAGTGCATTCCAAAATATGGACCATCTTAGCGCGGCTATTGCCTGCTTGATTGCTTTCGCCGTTTGCTGTCTCCTCGGCTGATTGCCAATTTGACTCTGGAATGCAATAACGGTGCCGCGTTGTAACCATTTTCACCTATCGCAGGAATGAATTTTTTTGAACGAATTGCCAAATCCGTGCGGTCAGAGTGTTCAGTAACATTGGTGACCATATGATTTTGTTTGAAAGTAATAAAGCGTTCGCAACAGACGAGATTCGTCATAAGGTTTTTCAAGGAAATCCTGATTGTGAATGACGGTCTTTCTGATTAAAAAGCAAAATTTAATCAACCCACGAAATTTAGACTTTTCCACTGCTTTGAAAATTACAAAACTGAGATCATTAAAACCAATCTGACTTGTAATTTAATTGTGAAAATGTTACAAAGCTTTCACACATTTACACATTTGAAGGTTCGTATTACCCAGAAATCATAAAAATCGGTCATCACTGTTGCCATGTATTTACCTGAACGAGGATGTGTGATATACTCCACAGGGCTTTCTTTCGAAGCTTTTTTATTTTCGCAGTATAGCTTATGAAATCTTGTGAACATCACTCGTAGAAGCTGCAATGGGGCTTTTATGTGCAGCGTGTATAGAAATTTTCTGCAGGTTGCCTACCTACATACATATCCATTTATTCAAAAATATGATGAGCTTCTGTTCGCTCGACTGAAACCAACGCTTAACAGATACATTCAAATTTAAATTAAGAGAAATCCGCTAACATATCTGCCGAAGGAAGGTATTGCTGATTCCAAGTTCCAACTATCGAACCCAAAAAAAAAAAAAAAACAAAAAAACTTATTTAGTTTCGTTACCAGCGACTATGCATCCATTTTGTGTGGTTAAATAAACAAGCAACAAATGTGTTTAGAAAGAAAATTTTTAGATTATTTTGAATTTAGAAAACATATTTGAGGTTTATTTTTCCCTTGTAATTTCATTACAAATTATTTGTTGTCCTTCACCTAATCATAATGATTTGCTGCTTAAGAACTGCAGTTCATTTTTCTATTTTCATTATTTTCACTCATTGTGTCCTGTGTGTGTGCATTCGAGTATTTATAATTTGATTTTTACATCTGTTAGTTCTGGTTTTTTTTTTTTTTTGCTTTTTTTTGCAAGAATTGTGCAATGGCTTATCTATGAATAGTAAGCCGTTAGAACTGCTTTACGTTGTTTTTTTTTTGCGCTTAGAAAACGGTTTCAAGAGCTGCCACCGGAAAAAGTTGCACAAATATTGACTTTGTCGACATTGAAAACCTCTTAGAAAACAGTTGACTTTTGTTTCACCTTTTCTTCAAACCATTTCGCATTCAGAGTATTCATTCATCACAATCATGACACAATGTCGTTTTCCCTAACCTCTAATCAATCAGCCGGCACCCAATACACTTTACTTTTATATTCTTCTTTTTCTACTTCACAAACCACTTGAACAACTCAAATCACTTGTTAAAGCGTCTCTTGTGTTCTTTAATGTGTGTTTTATTTTTTCGTTCGTTTTTTTTTTTTTTTTTTACTTTTTATATTTATAATAATAACATCTGAAATAAATTAATCTCAATTTAATACACTATTCTGTTTTACTCATATTTATATATATATATAAAATTTTTAAAACAACAATTAATGGATTTTTAAATGAAATCACTGATAAGGAGTTAAAACGTAATGAGGTTATAGCCAAACGTCCAGTTAATAAAAAATACGAATATGAAGATACCTGTGCGATTCAAAAGATACCAAAGAAAGAAAGCCATGAGAAGACGAACGATAATTTAAAAATACAGCCAGTTTATATAATTGATGATGAATACAATGATGATGATGATGATGATGATGATGATGATGATGATGATGATCAAGGTAATTTTTCATCCGAAACGTTTCGAGCTGATACTCACTCGAGACCGCATTACGGGAGCGACTCCGAAAGCGAATCAAGCAAAGCTAAAGTACAAACGGCCTCTGGATTTAGCACGCCCGATATTTCTTCCTATGGAGGCCAGCATCGCAAATCTGTTAGTTTCGATTTAAGCGGCGATGAACGTTCCAAATCCGATTACGAATATTCTACACGTTGTTACGATTCAGAACATGAATATAAAACGAAATCACGTAACCGATTACCTCGAAAGGGTATTTTACGTTCATCGAGTCCATCCCCAAGTAATAATGCTACTTTGGAAAAAATACGACCTGACAAATTACCTTCTATAGTGCCTGCAGTAGCCAGAATCCGAGAAATTGATTCTCCTCCTATTCAATATACCACATCAAGGTCAACGTCATCGAGTGCCAGTAGCGGCGGTTATCGTAGTCCGCCGCCGGAACCCGAGAAAATTCTGGTTTCAAGCGAAATTGAAAGAGAAAATCCATTCCGTCAGGCATTTTTGGATAAAAGCCAAAATGACGATGAATATACAGAAATAGCGAAAGCCATTTCAAAACTGAGGGCATTTAATAAAAGTCCAAAATCAAGCTGGAAATCCAATGAAGATCTTTTATCATCCGAGCGCGTTAGTGATCGCGAGACTCCGAACACAGTTATAAGTCAACAATCAAAATCAACCGAAAATCTTTTGACCACATTGAAAAAGCCAAAAGCACCGCCACCCATTTTACCAAAACCTAAAGTTAAGACGGCCGATTTAATGCGTAATTTCGCGTTGGACTCATTCCAAAATGCTGATGTAGGTCATGGTGACTTTGCTGTTTTTGAACACGATCCAAATACGAATACTATACACGAAGTTTCGAACCAAACTGCATCAAGTTCGACTGCCGCTGTGAGTCCGAAGTTGCCAGTCCGCGTTAAAATGCCACGAAGTCCTGTCAGGCCGCGCGAAAGTCCACCACCGCCACCAATTAATTATGCTACCATGCCCAAAATATTGCCCACGACCTCAATCATTGGATTACAGGAGGGGCCGGAATATTTAGAAGTGCTTCCACCATTGCCCGCAACGCCATCTCTGCGCGCATCCCACACACTAGAAGAGATTCCACCCTCTCAACGAAGGCCATCCGATTTTATCCATGAAAATTCACCAGATAATATTTTAGTAAGTGAAGATGAACATCGAAATATTTTACTTAAGGAAAATCAATTGCGAAATCAGTTACGCAAGCCGAGCAGCAAATCGACATATACACAACTTACGACTGAAATGGGAGCGCCAAAACAGCCGGCACCACCGATACCCGGCAAGAGCTTCAAAGATTCGGTAAATTCCTTGATATATTTTAGAGATGGTCAAAATTTACCGTTGCCGCTTGCACTAAACCCAAAAGCCCAATCCTACCTTCCTTCGTCAAACTCTCTTAAATGTGAAAATCATTCAATTTGTGATAGTAATCTTGTACGTTCAAGTCCTTCAACTAACCAAGATTCTATCTTTTCTCATGCTGACCAGACGCGTTTGGATTTACCCTTGCCTTCGGCAGCAAAAGTCATAACCCCAGTTCAAGAACTCTTTTCACCCACTCAAATATTTCCCACAGCTAAAATTCTACCTGTGCAATATGCCAATCTTCCTAAACCTCAACATCCAATAACCACTTATCCCTCCTTTACAATGGAACAGGGTTCTGCGTTGCTGCCCAGGGTCGTTCACGCTGGAACATCCATTGCCGGAACGGAACTAGCGTATAATGAACAACATCAAACGCCTAAGTTGCAATGCCGGCAGCAGCGTACAGTGGTGAGTGAATCTAATGTGAGCTCACATTTAGTTGCTCAACAACAACATTCACCAATTGCTGTTAAAACATCCGCCGTGACTAGCAATGCAAGTGATAGGTCCACAAATCATTTTACCATACCATGTTATAATAATCTCAATAACTCTAAGAAAGCTACATTGGTCATACCCTGCTCTCATCCCTCAAATAGTAGTTCATTAATAACACCCACTCAATTAGTATCGACCCTTAATGCCGCTACTTATTACGAAACTGCCGAAGAAATTTATTCGACAATCGATGAAGAAGCTTTTTATAGTAATGTATCCTTTTTTGATTCGAAACATAGTAGTGATACTTCTTTGAATTGTCGCTCCACTGCGTCACCTTTACCGCCACCACCACCACTGCCACCTAAATCTTCATTTAAGACTCAAAAGTTATCTGGATCGCCAAATTCAACTCAAAGTGTAAAAATGCTAAAATTACGCTCACAGTCCCAACCACTGTTAAATTCGTTAGATCGAAGAGATTTGCCGGCTTCAGCTCTTACGCCTAGCGGCAAAGAGACGACGGTTTAAGTGCAATTCTACGTGACTAAGTGATCCTTATACGATATTATGAAAGGAATACCAATCGATTTATATTAAAATAATGTACCATTGAAAGTTCATTTCTTTCCAGTTTCGGAATTAATCTTTTATTGCAATTTTAATTGAACTCTAAGCTTAAGTATGAATGAAAGGGCAATAAATGAATTCTCCATTCCTGCAGTATCTCTGGCATCTGTTGGTGTATAAAATAGATTTTACCCCAAATTTTTTGCACAACATGTCGTTTTACTTTATTAAAAACATTTTGTGGGTTTCCGGTTTCAAGCGTACTTTGCATACGTATGTGTTTAAAAAAAAAAAAAAAAAAAAAATATTGTTTACATTGAACACTTTTTCGAGTAATAATGTTGACCTTTTCGAATATATATATATATATGTCGTTTAGCCCAAGTTCAGATTCCAGGTTCAGCGCCCAGCGCGCGATGATATCTTTTTTATCTTCGTCTTTTTTGTTTTTTTTTTGTTTTCTCTCCTCTTATTATTGCAGTCTAATTTATTCCTATAATTTAGCCAGTCTTCAGTAATATAATTTCATATTTTTTATACATGCTTCGTAAAAAGTTTTAATATTCCTTAAATTTACTTTAAGTTATAAAATTAATTTAAATTTATTCTTTACTTTAAGAAGATATATGTAAATGTGAATAACGTATTCACCTTCATTTTATTGCTTACACGCGTACAGCAGAAACATGTTTTGTGTGTGTGTGTGTGCGCGCGCGCGATTGTGTGCTTTTGTATCACTCCTCATGAGGTGTAACGAATGAATGCTGGGTTTCAACATAAATGCGAGCATTCACTAGGAAATTTAATAAAAATATATAAAGCAAATGTCTCTGCTGTGTGCGTTCTTTGATTACCTTTCCTTTAACATTTTTCTTTGCAAAAAAAAAAAAAAAAAAACAAAAAAAAAAGTATTTAAATATTTTTCTACAATAAATGTAAAATCAGTTTTGTTATTAAATAAAATGAGAAACATAAGCGCTTTTGTTGTTTTGATTGCTGTTTGTATCATCTTCCTACAATGAAAATTTCTCTCTCTCTCTCTCTCTCTCTCTGACAGGAAAGAAAAATTGTGTACATTTTCTGCCCTACTCACTCATGTATTAAGGTTTTTTTTATTAATTGGTTGGAAAGCATATATGCCAACAAAAAAAAAAATTCTTTATGTCAATCATTATATTTGTTTTTTCCTTTATCTCCGCGTGTTTGTCAGTTATCAAGTTGAGAAGACTATTAATTACATTAGTGTCCATGTTTAAGCTTGTTATAGTAGTTAACTGGTAGTCAAAGTTTAAATTTAAAAGGCTTTTAACTTTCTCTTTATGTTGAAGTTTAACCAGCCAATTACCTACTTCGCTGTTCATTTTAGATTAGGTAGACTTTGCTCTTTGTGAACATATTCATCTACGTTAATTAGCAATTAAAAAAGAAAGAAAGACTTAAGTGCAAGTTAATAGTTAAGTTTAAAGTTAATAGCGAGTTTAGATTTTATTAATAGAATTGAATTTTAGTTCAACTTTAACCAGTTAACTGTGTCGACCTCTTTACCGATAAGCGATTATATTTCTCCAAAACAGAATGAAGTGAATAACATGAAATTAGAAACGACGAAAGTACATCATTAGGCCAGATACACTTATAAAACAATAAAATTTTATTAGGAAAATTCGACAAGGACTAAGGGACGGATCATAACTTATATGTTCGTCATACATAGTTAACTGGTTAACTGTTTAATGAACTATCAAATAGGGCAATAGTTAACGGAAGACATCCTAAGTTAATTTTAAACTAACTCAACTTTTAAGATTCCAGCTAAGTTATCTCAAATCCCAGTTGAATTTTTATTAACCTCAAGTTTGACCCCAATTATTAATTGCAGTTAAGTAAAATTTTCTCATTAATATAATTAAAGTCACGTTAGATGTTAATTTAATTAACTGTGTATTTAGTTATCAAATAATTGCTACTAAGTTTAATTGGAACCATCTATTGTCAAATTAAAATTAGTTAACATGAGTAAACCCAAGCCCTCGAACTAGGTGTCAGTTAGATTCATTCTTAACTTAGATTTCAATTCACTTTACTACTACAAGACTTGCCTTACATGCCTGCAGTTAATTTAACTGAGTTGAGTAGTGCTGTTAATTACAGTAACCGTTACGATAACAATTTTTATTAAATAGTTATTATACGTTAGACCTCAGTAAAGTTAATGGCTCAGTTAAATTTCTCAAGAACTTAACCCCTCCCCTAAGTCACGTATACTTTAATTTCCATGCCGTAAGTTACTTAACTCCTAGGACGAATTTTACGAGCTCCAAACTTGTATGAGTCTTACATATTGGAGGTTCGAAAACACCTTTCAAATAAAAGTTTGACCGAAATCAATTTTAATTAGAATTTTTTCCGCTGTTATTTTCAAAATTTAGTTTAAAAAGTCAAAGGACGACGCCCTGCCTCTCCCTCTTTTGATGATTGTATTACATTCAAATATGAAATTTTTTTTAGTCTTACCTCCTAAAGAATTATTTATATAAAATTGAATTTTTTTCGCGGGTATCTGTTCTACCTCCTTGGTTATCGATAACCATTACGCTTATATAGGTTTTTGTTTTACTTATTCCAATGAGCATAAATCATTAATGATTCGATTAAATGAGTTATATGCAATTAAACGGAAATTATTCTAAAACTAAAAATTCCCAGAAAGCTTTTTTCTCGAAATTGCAGCTTGTTGATTTTTGTTTCCCAATATAAGACTCTAGGAGGTATTCCACCTTTTTTTTTTTTTTTTTTTTTTTTTTTTTTTTTCTTTAAGAGAAGTGAATTTTTAAAATAATGAAGTGATTGTTATGGAAGCTCCCAAGCAACTGTTAGGCGATGCCTTTACTTCATTTACAACAGCAGACTTTTTTTTTTCTTGAAATACGAACAGCAATAGTAAAAGATAAGATATAATAGAAGTGCTCCTCACTTGGTGTAAAGATAATGAAAAACATTTAATGCAAATATAATAAGCAACACTGATGTGACGGTATACTATGACTAACAGAGAGTATTGCTATCGCTCGCAGGTGAGGTGAATGTATACCATCTCTAATAGAAAATAAGAAAAGATAGCAGAAGTAGGTTAACTGATATCGTATTATATATATATATGAACCATGTTTTTATCATGAATATTGCGTTCAACTGTGGTACCATCTAGTTGTGAAATGTTCATAATACTACAGTAGTCTCTGCTTAGTTCCATTCGTACATATATAATGTATTATATATATTGTTATAACACTTTTCGATTGTATTACGCAGCTAGCGATTGAATCAATTTGTATTTGCATTTATCAACTCCCACGGTGTACAGACACGAGTATCTTTTCTATTTGTTTCTCTATACTCGTGTTTTGTAATACTCATGTTTGGTTTTATAATGAAATAATCTCAAATATTGTCTATTGTAAATCTCTAATGAATTTTACTTTCATGTATACATAATAAATTTTGAATCTTTTTATAGGTGTCCCCATCGGAAATGGAAACAGTAACAATGACTCGAACAAAGTTACCGAAATCAGTATCGGATAAAAAGCGATTTTTCGAATCTGCCATGGAAGAGCAACACAAGCCCGCACAAAAAACAGGTAATCTTTAGGTTTTTCTTTCTAATATTTATTATAAAATAGAAACAAAGCGTTGCATGGTTAGTAAACTATTTGTTCGAATTACAAATGTTTTTACAGAAACTTAAACTTTCTTCAAACAAAGTGTTTCTTCCTTATTAATTATTAGTTATATATATGATGTTTATACGAGGTGTGTTCAAAAAAAAAAGGCGATTTTTCAAATTTCGTGCGCTATGTACCTTACATTTATCAATTTTCTTCTTCTTTTTTTTTTTTTGATGATATATATTAGTTTGGGGAAAAAGAAATCCATTATTTTTTCGGTAGATGGCTGCACTGATAGATTTCTTGTAAAGTATCGATCAAACAATTTCAGATTTATGCTCGTTGGAAAGATGACATTTCGCAGTAAAAAAAATTCTTTTGCTGTTTTTTGTTTGGTGCATTCAGTTGTGAGTTACAGCGTGTTAAAAATGGATGTGAACAAAGAGAAAATTCGGTACATTTTACAGTTTTTCTTTGACAAAGGCGAAAATGCAAGCCAGGCGGCTAAAATTGTGAATGGTGTTTATGGTTCCGATACTGTAACAGCCAATTATGTGCAATTTTGGTTTCGTAGATTCCGTACAGGAATTTTTGATGTTAAAGATGCACTTCGCACAGGTAGGCCGGTCGTCGAAAATGTCCATAAAATCGGAGAAATGATCGAAGTTGACCGGCATGTTAGCAGTAGTAACATCGCCCAGGAGCTAAAAATCGACCATAAAACAGTTTTAAACCATTTACACAAAGCTGGATTCAAAAAGAAGCTCGATGTTTGGGTGCCACACCAATTAACAGAAAAAAACATGATGGATCCATCTGCGAAGCCTTGGCCAAACGGAATGAGATAGACCCATTTCTTAAACGGATGGTGACTGGAGATGAGAAATGGATCACATACGATAACCCTGTGCGAAAACGATCGTGGTCAAAGAGCGGTGAAGCACCTCAAACGGCCAGGAAGGTTTTGCTATGCATTTGGTGGGACTGGAAGGGGATTATTTATTATGAGTTGCTTCCATATGGCCAAACGCTAAATTCTGATCTCTACTGTCAACAACTGGACCGTTTGAAGATAGCGATTGACTAGAAACGGCCAGAATTGGCCAACAGGAGAGGTGTCGTGTTCCACCAGGACAACGCTAGGCCACACACATCTACAGTGACACGCCAGAAACTTCGGGAGCTTGGTTGGGAAGTTTTAATGCATCCGCCATACAGTCCGAACTTGGCACCAAGCGATTATCATCTTTTTCTTGCATTGCAAAATTTCTTTAATGATAAAAAATTGGCATCTAGGGAGGATTGTGAAAATCGACTACTAGAGTTTTTTTGCAAATAGAGACCAGGACTTCTATGAGAGAGGCATTTTGAAGTTACCTTTAAAATGGCAACAAATCATACAACAAAACGGTGCATATTTGACCCAAATCGGACAATCCGAAGCATGTTAAATAAAGTCCTGAAGTTCATATAAAAATAATGGATTTCTTTTTCCCCACACTAATATGTCCGCAACGTATGTTGACATTATGAGCCATTTTGTATTTTTAGTTTGTTTTTCACAGAAACAAAGGTTTCACGCGTTTTGGTGTGTTTGACGATCTTTTGCTATCGAAAAAATGGATCAAAAATTTATATTCAATCTTATGTGGAAAATAAAACGAAGTGCACCATCCCACTTGGTATTTGGCGTGCCTGCTCGGAGCAAAAAAAAAAAATGTTTATAAGTGGTATAAGTACTTCACAGGAGAATGTTGAAGCAACGAAGCAAATTATTGCGGAGAAGTTGTCGTGGGTGTCGGCATATCGGTTCACCCATGCCATGCAGATTTCTCTGTTATCAACCGTGCGCAATTTGTTCCGAAATTGCTAAATTTTGGTCAACAAAATCGCTGCATGAGCATCGTCTGGGAACTGTTGAATAACATCAGCGACGACCAAGATTTGCTCAACTGGTGGCAAAACATAGATATATGGTTATGATGCCGAAACTAAAGTGCGATTGTCGCAGTGCAAGCGCGCAGAAGAGCGAAAACCGAAGAAAGGACCCCAAGTTTGCTCAAATGTGAAGGTCTTGGTCACAGATTTCTTCGGTTACATTCGCGTGGGGCATCGTGGGTTCTTGCCAGAAGGTCGTACGGTCAGTAAAGAATATTAGCTTGAAGCTATGGGCAGTCATGGATTTCACATCATGATAATGCTCCAGCTCGTATGTCATTGTAATTTTTTGGCCAAAAACAACACCATAATCATGCTTCAGCCATCGCATTCATTGGAGTTGGGTCCCTGGGAGTTTTTCCGGTTGCCTAAACTGAAAGGATGGAGATTTTCAACGATTGAGGAAACAAAGGTCGCATCGCTGAAAGAGTGCATATGAGAAGTGTTTCGAGGAATAGGAAAGACGCTATTTCTAGTGTATTTACTTATTATATTTAAGGGGACAAAATAAATATTGATGAATAAATAAATATTTTCCGAGAAATATGAAAAGTCATCTTTTTTTTTGAACACACCTTCAATATATGTGCGATATTTTTGGACTTAGTATAGAATGTTTATTATATTCGTGGCAGAGATTGATTCTATTAGCTTCATCAACTGTTTTTAGCAGATAGCGATATGTTACGCTTATGAAATATATATTGTTGGTGACTGTACGTCTCGTGCAATCTCTTATATATGATTCGGAGATTCCATATAAAAAGTATTTTATTGTAGTGTTCGATGAAAGTCGTAAAGCAGGCCATCGCTGTTCCTCAATGTGATACCGCTTCTGCCACATCTACGAAGCACTTTGTCCTTTTATATGTTGCGAAAGAACAAGGAAATCGCAAAAATACTTAGCATGCTCGTATGCAAACAAGAGACTTTCTCATATGACTTGCATAAAAATAAATTTTATTAAATTAACACTTTTAACTAATATTTAATGATTAGTATAATGATTAGTCAACTAATATTTAATGATTATATAAACTTTCGAGTGCTAATTTTGATATATAGTGCTTTAAGATGGTAAATTTAAACGATTCGTGACTACACGGATATAACTTTTTTAATATTTACAGTCGAGAGGCTGGTGGAATATTTATTTTCTCAAAACGTTAGGAGCGCTTAAGCTTTACTCAGCAAATAGTTTATATGTATTTGTAATTACTATTAAATTTTGAACCGATGTAGTCATGTTTGTTTGTACCTCGGTACATCTGTCCGCTTAGCTGTGATTTAATAAAAAATAAAGTCAAATATTTTAGGATTAACTCGCTTAGATGATCATCGTCATTTAGGAAACCAGCGGTTATTTTCGTTTATTTATTTATTGCTTATCATTTTAGGGTACAAAACAGCAAAAATTAGCCTTGCTTTTTGTTGTTGTTAAATATGATATAGATAGTGCGATTATCGGAAATTGGAAGAAGTGCGATTATTATACACGATTATAAGATACCATACCTATACATATAAAGTAGACATGAAAAATGCTGTGAACTGCGATACTTTTACCAAAGAATTCATCTGTAACACGCAAGGTTTGGAAAACTTTTATTTGGAAATTGAAGACGTCGAAACAGACGATTGATTGCATTCTTAGAATCGGATATAAAAATGAAGCGATAAACATTATTAAATTTGCCACAAAGAACTGAAAAGGGATTAAATAGTGTAAAGAGTTAACAATATATAAGGACTGAGACACTAACTTAGTCCCCTTTTTGGTATCCCATGTTGTGTGTTTATGGGTTAATTTCCTTATAAGTCCCCGCAATTTCATTTACTAAGCACTCATCCAACTGGATTGCCTGTAATTCGACTTCGCCGAAGAAAAGACTTAATTCACTTGAATTCTTTATCTTTTATCCGGACAACCTTTAATTATCACGACTTACACTTAAACTTAAAAAGATTTTCAGTCTCCTTTACTCGCTCCTATTGTTATAATTTACACTCACTCATCAATTAGTATTTTAGTTAATATTTTTTATCAAGACATGTTATATTTACCGAGTGCGAGTTCTTGTCGGTCGACAAAAGACAGATCGGTTACCGATCTCTCATTCGAAATCATCTTAGATCCAACCATACCACATTCGAGTCTAAAAACTGATTTTGGACTCCATATAGCATTGATAATTAGGCGCCCAAACTATTAACACATACTCAAGAACGGACTTGACCGCACTTATGAATAATCTTTTCGTTATATAAGGATCATCGAACTCCTTCGACCACTGCATAATGAAGTGCAGCAAACTATTCGCTTCATTAACTGCAAATTCCATACGTAGATTAAAACTAATTTTGTTATCAGAAGGGACACCTACGTCAAGAACTGAAGAGATTTCTTCCATCAAACCGTTTAAGTTTTGCTTATTTATATCTATAGTGAATACTTTAAATTTTTATTTCTTTTTTTTCAATATTATTATTATTTTTAATAATAGATGGGCTTTTGCAAAAGGCCAATAAGAACGTTTATGGAAAAATTTTTAATGTCATTTCTCTAATATTGGGATTGTTTTCTCTTTTTCGTTTTCCTTTTCTTTCTCTTTCTTTGTTTTTTTTTTTACTTAAATAGAAAAAGTTTTTTCGTTCTTGTCCAAGGATGAAATAGAAAAGCTGAGACAAGAGGAAGAACGTAAAATAGCAACATTATGTCGCGATAAGGAATCCCGATTATTCGATAGTACCAATAATGAAAAAACTGACAAGCAAACAAGCGACGATGAAAGCAACTATGTTCGTCAAAGTATTGTTCACGATGACGACGATGATGACGATGACAATGGCGGTGTTGATGATGTTGGTTATGTAAATGAGGACGAAATAGATGTGCGTCAGCGGAAACATAATGGCAGTTATAATGATAATGAACGAGTTGTGGAGGAAGATGGTAACATTGTAAGCAGTACTGTTCAAGTTTTGCGTGAAACTTATATCGATCATCAGTGCACAGGTGATGAAGCCGAAGATATAAGGTAAGTTCTAATACAATTTATAATGAAATATATATCATGTCATATAACACTGTTTTCTCTTATGCTCTATGTTATGGTTAAAGTTTTTAATAATTATTTTATTTAAAGTTTATTTTTTTATTTTCCTTTATACACATTTCAATATATATATTATTTTATTATTTATTAATATTATTTATGTTCATCTCTAAACACCTAATGTTGCTCAATTTACTTACTTATATACAATTTTCTTTCTTTTTTTTTTTTTTTTGATTTCAACAATTTTCGATTGTTTTGAATGGAAAGAAAAATAAAAAAAAAAGAAATTGTTTTTTTTTTTTGCTGGTGTTTGTGTTTCATTAGATATTCTTGCCTTATAGTTATTATTTTTCCTTTCTTTTTTTTTTCAACTAAAAATTAATCCGTTTGCTTTTTTTTGCTTATGAGAAAATCTTCTAAAACAAATGCAATGCTCTTATATAGAACAGTGCTGAAGATTGTCGCTTATTTGCTGCTTAAGTTTCGCAATTGTTTTAAAATATGTATGTTTACCTCTCTTTCATTTTTTGTCTGGTTGGTTTGCTTAAGGGTTATTTTTGCTTCACATACATGCATAAATATTTTTCTATTTTATCCTTTTCACTTTTATTATAATAATTTTTATTTTTTTTTCTTGTTTCATATCTTGAGGACATTAACTTTGGCTAAAATCAAGTTTCACTCTGGTATATTGTTTATTTTTTCATTTTTCACTATCATGCTTACCACTATACCATTATCAACGTCACTGCTACTACTTCGCCACTATATCTATTTTATCTTCGTCTTTGTGTGTGTGTGTCTGCACGTTTGGGCGTATGCTCCCCTAAAGGACTTTAGACGAAGTTTTAATTATTATCGAAATGTAGTTCGCTTAAAAATATATTATGCATAAATATTCGCTTTATTATCGATTGGTACACGCACTCTTTTATAAAATAAGGGATTTCTTGCAATCCGACAGTTGTGATTTATTGCGCATATATATATATACACAAGATTTATGAAATTTCAATTATGAATTATATACATAATAGAATTTTTATATAAATACCGTTAATGTTTTTTGATACAAATCAAATGAAATATATTACGTTTTCCTTAACATACAGATATCCCGAAGCCCCTTTTTTTTTGTTTTTATTTTGCTATTTATTCATACTTTCATTATATAGCATTTTTTTACAAAGTTTTTTTTTTCTTTATTTTTAATATTTATATGCATTCAGGAACTTTGTTGAAAGTATTGATGAATGTCAAGATCGCAACGCTTAACGATTTAACTGCCTTTAGCGTGTTTTGCATGAGAGCTTCTCTATGATTTAATTGAAGTGCGCACTGCAAATGTTAAATGTTAAAAAAAAAAAAAAAAAACAAGCAAGAAAATTATATTCGGTCGAGACCGATTTTTTTGTACTCATCACTGTTATTATAACAACAAACTCAAACAAAAAGCAAATTCTGCTATTATATAATGTTGGTGGGCGTGGTTAATTTTTTTTTTTTTTAATTTTGTAGACCAAAATGGAAAGCTATATAGCGTATATGAAGCGGATACGTCTCTTTTGGCAGGCCTGAGTACGTTCACCTAAGCAATTAACACAAAGGTGGACAGACTGCCTGATAAACATAACTAGAACGGTTCAGATTTGATACTAATCAATATGTCGACTTTATAGTTTTTCTGAAGCGTCTTTCTGGACGCCCCCAACCATTTTGAGAAAAGAAAGAGATTTGAATATTCTAAATGTTGAATAACGGAAAAAAAAAAATCAAATATTTCTGAGGTCTGTTTCTGCCAATTTTTAAGAACACGCATGAGAATTGTTACCACAGACATTATAGCCAGACAAACGCACATGCTTAAATCGGTTCAGTATTTGACGCTGATTACTTTACTTTATGGAGTCTCTGAAGCTTCCTTCTAGCTGTTGCAAACGTTTTATTAAAATGAATGCACCCCTCATTTTTCGGTGATGGGTATAAAAAAAAAAAAAAAACAAGAAAAAGAAGATACAATAAATTGCATACCAAGTACAGGATGAGGGAATGAAAATATTCTTCATTAGTATGTATCCCCCTTACTATAGTATGCTGTAACATGTGTTACAGGGAGTAAGAATGTTCTGTTTCAGTAGAAAAAAGAGAACAAAAATAACGGTTTACATCGTAAAACTAAATTTTAAAAGCAATTAAAGGCACGGGAGGCATCGCGCAGCGTATGTGCACTAAAAATTTCGCTTCACAGATCTCTTGGAAAATATGCTTACGGAAGCCTACACTTAAGTCTTTTGCCGTGAATTTCGTTACACATTATACCATAACATACCGTAACGTAGCAAAAGCTCTTCTATCCATTAATTGTATCAAGTGTGCGCAGTTCATAACGTTATTTTGCCTTTGATTATGTAAACTGTCCAAAAACAAACTGTTGTATTACATGTATTTGGCTGTTGTTAGCGGAAGGGTTAATTTACTCGATTTTCACCGGACATTTGTCTTATATTTTAATATACAGCCGTTAAGAAGGCTGAAGTCTCAATTGTTCAATAAATCTGATATTCTTTCAAAAATAAGTTAAAATATGAAGAGATAAAGATATGCAGAATGTATTTTAAGTTGTTACAGTCTTTTATTAAATAGATTTTACCGGATTAGTAGGAATAGCGAACCGCCCAATAAATAACCAAATTTTGTATGTCTTCTGGGATTACCTATACAACAAAGTGTTGCTCAAGGAATGACAGATTAATTCACAGTAGAATTATGTAATTGGGAATTACTGTAGTAACTATTGAGAGGAAAAGTAGAATTGATTGTTTTATTACGTTGGCAAGGATGGGGGTTGTACTTAATACTATTATCGACTTTAATAGTTTATTATCTGACGATTGCTTAATATTTAAATGTTGTCTTGCTTTTGTTTCCTTGGGAAGTTACACAACTCATCTGTCTGCAGAAATCAGCTTAAAAATAAATTTTTTGTTAAAAATGAAACGATCGGAAATCCGCGCTATTAGGAAGTGCGAGTTCTTAAGTGGAACTACGGCTCGCCGCGCGAGGCTTTAATAGTGCCAGATAGCAGGCAGCATTAAATTGTTTTGACAAATTTCATGCAGATAACTTTAAACGCACGTGTGATCCATGCATTCGGCCAACAGTAATGGTCGGTAATGACGAATTAAAGATCACCGTTGAGTCCGATCTGTCTGGTACTGCCTATGCACTGGCGTTCAAATCTGTTGTTATCAAACAAACAATATTAACGCATTTGGATCCTTTTGTTTCATTATATCTGCAAATTTCATCTTTGGCAACTTGATATATAAATAAATGTTTCTTAGCTATAGGAAATGCAGGGGAAAATTAATTCTGGCTGTTTACTTCTGTACGCATAATGTAACTCTTTTTGGCCAGGTTATCATTCTTATGAACAATAATACATATTTACTAAAACTATTGTCATCTTTTCCGCCAGCTCTTTCGTATTTTTTTAGCGAAGGTATTTCAATTTCTGGATATTTCATTTTTTGGTAATTCTATCTGCTTTTTAATGCTTGTTTCCAAAGCAACTCTTATCCCTACGTTCATTCAAAGGATATCTTTTCAAGAAATTCTATGCGAATTTATTAGCTTTTGGTGGTAGCTTTTCATTCCCGTAACGATTGTATTCGTTACATTTTAAGGAGTTTGTAATGTGAAAGCACTTTTCTCCAACAATTTACAATAAATCGAATTAAACGGCTTGTATTGCTCACGATATACAGTTAATTAGTTAGTTAGTTTATACCAACCAACTTCGTTGTAATAGATTGTTTCATAACTATCTCGATCTTACACAGCTAAGTTTTGCTTAACTTATTGTATTGAATTGTTTTCATTCACACATTATTTGTCATCATCCCTGCAAAAACAAAAACACACGACTTTAATATCAATAACGTTTCATATTGAAGTGTTTTTTTTTTTTTTTTTTTTTCGTTTTCTCCGGAATTAAGTTAAAGTCAATCCCCAGGCTTTTTGCCTTAGAGAGGGATGCGGCAGCTAATTCATTAGCAGTATTTCTCTTATGTTTAACTCATAACTCATTCTATTAGACGACTTACTGATGTGCGTTCATGTGTAGCACTGAAACTTTATGAGCACAACACCATGAAATTAAAATATCAAAATATATATATTTGTAGACGTCAATAGTTTAAATCGATAACAACCCAATAGTTACTAACACTTTTTCTACTTTAATATAAAATTTACCTGAATATATTGCATTTATATTCATGTGTTGAATATTTTGCATAAACAGTCCACAACAGTTGTTGAATAAATATTGCTGTTGGCCCTCTGGGCAACAGCATCTGTTGAATTGAGTTGAATAATTTAATTATTATTATTTTTTTTCCTTTTTTTTTACTCTTTTTTCGTATTTTTCATATCAAGTAATCTTGACTTGTATTTGTTTTATTTATTATTCTCGGGGCAATTTAAATTTATGGCTTTTGTGTGTTCTGCTGCATGTGTGCGCCTGACGCATCCACACATACCATACGCTCACATACAGTAAAAAGTTTTGAATATTGCAATAAAGCCGCGTAATATTGCGAACAATTTAATGTTATAAACGCTAATGCGAGCATTTATTTATTTAATTTAATTTATGGAATTATGAAATTAACGAAAATTAATGACACGAACTGTTTAAAAGTTTCTTTTAAATGAAAAAAGTATGCGAACTTCTAATCGGCGCTTGGCTTTAAATGGATTAAGCGGCATCTTAATTATGGGCAGATACAATTAATAGGGTTAAGTGGAGTAAATTATCCAAAGATCCAAAGGTGGTGTGTTCTTACGACATCATTTGTGCTACAAGGATATATTATGTTTGCGTAGATGTATACAACACCGAGAAGAAGAACTTGGGATAGACCCAGTTTTTATTATGCCGATCGATTGAGAAAGTGATCAAAAGCCGATCCAGA